TTCTTCTTCTTCCTCTTCTTTCTTTCCTTTTATCTTCTCTTTCCCTTTCCCTTTCCCTTCTCTCTCTATCTCTTATTTATTTTTTTGGCGGGGGGTGGGGAGGGAGGAGGCAAGAGCCCTTCGCCCTTCCCCCGTTTCCCTCTTTCCTTCTTATTCCTTTTCTTTCTTTCCTTTCCCTTCTCTCTCTCTCTCTCTCTCTCTCTCTATTTATTTTTTTGGCGGGGGGGGGGGGGGGGAGGGGGGAGGTAAGAGCCTTTCGCCCTTCCCCCGTTTCCCTCTTTCCTTCTTCCTCTTCTTTCTTTCCTTTTATATTTTCTTTCCCTTTCCCTTCTCTCTCTTATTTATTTTTGGCGGGGGGGGGGGGGGGGGGGGGAGGAGGCAAGAGCCCTTCGCCCTTTCCCTGTTTCCCTCTTATTCCTCTTCTTTCTTTCCCTTTCCCTTCTCTCTCTCTCTCTCTCTCTCTCTCTTATTTATTTTTTTGGCGGGGGGGGGGGGGGAGGTAAGAGCCTTTCGCCCTTCCCCCGTTTCCCTCTTTCCTTCTTCCTCTTCTTTCTTTCCTTTTATCTTCTCTTTCCCTTCTCTCTCTCTCTGATTTATTTTTTGGCGGGGAGGGGGGGGGGAGCCTGGAGGAGGAGGCAAGAGCCCTTCGCCCCCCCCCCCGTTTCCCTCTTTTCTTCTTATTATTCTTTCTTTCCTTTTATCTTCTCTTTCCCTTTCCCTTTTTTCCTTCTCTCTGTCTCCCCCAGCTAGGGCTGGTTTTGTTTACGAAGCGCCCGTCAGGAGAGTACACGATAGAGTACACGATAGAGTACACGATAAAATTGACGATATCGTGAACTTTATATCGTGAACTTTTCACGATAAAATTCACGATATCGTCAATTTCATCGTGAAAAGTTCACGATAAAGTTCACGATATCGTCAATTTCGTGAATTTCTTCGTGAAAAATATGCGATAAAATTGACGATATCGTGAATTGTATCGCATATTTTTCACGATTTAGTCTATTCGCGATGTCCCTTCAGGGCCACCATAGTTTTCCAAGTCTTCGTAGGCAAAATTTGAAACAATTATATTTTTTCTTGGGGATCCACAAACTACAAGCACTGCTTTTCAGTGGACCCCCCCCCCCCCCATTTCCTCAGAAATCAAGAATTTCTTGTGATATTTTTGTTATCATATGAAAAGTGTATTTGTATAGTTACCAGACAAAATGAACTATGTATGAAAAAATGTAATCAACTTTGTTTATCTTTCTGTTGGAAATGAAATAAATATGAATTAAATTGAATTGAATTAATCGAGAAATTCCCCTCGCTAGCGTGTAAAAAAAAAACGCTTCCGGGCCATCCCGTTTACTCGAACACTTAAAATAATTTACTTATTTTGTTTATAATAACGTATGAAAGCTTCTGTATAGCAATATTTCTATGTCAAAGTATATGATAATATATTATGTATGTGAGCTAATTTTGATTCTTTTTACGTTTGTAAAATGTGAGCAAAAGAAATTTCAAATATCGGACAATATATTGAAATTAAAAATCGCCCAAAAGACGTCATATCTTTGACGTCGACTGTTTGGGCGTGACAAAAGACAATGCCCCATTCTGTTGCATCCCGTAGCCTTCCCCAGGGAGGCCTGTGAAACTACGTGTTCATCTTTTCCACGAAAGGAGCATTTATCACATGACATGAATTGAAACCTGAATAAATGACAGTATAAAGTGCATATTCAGGGACGAAGAAATTGTCTTTCCGATATCCCCTTGCCAGTCTTTTGTCCGTCTTGTTTTGGTAATCCGATTTGGGTATAAAGAAGACGCCAGCAAAGTACGTCAAACCTGTTTACGAGTTATTTTATATAAAAAAACTAAAACCCTGCAAAGATTAACGTCGGTGAATCTGAAGAGATTAGTCCGACGTTGCATGGGTTTAAGCTTATCTGCCGTAGTTTACAGGAGGGATTAGACCGCTTTGCAAGGTCACTGGACAGGTGGTTATGTCATCAACTCAGCTCTCAGTTAACATAAGAAAAAGAGGATGATGGGGGACCAATGGTCACCGATTAGGCATTGTTTTTTATATAGAGGGCGCAAGTAACTACCAGTAGTGCAATGGCCTTTAAATTTTTGTCCAAAATCTGGCCCGTGAAACTACGTGTTCATCTTTTCCACGAAAGGAGCATTTATCACATGACATGAATTGAAACCTGAATAAATGACAGTAAAGTGCATATTCAGGGACGAAGAAATTGTCTTTCCGATATCCCCTTGCCAGTCTTTTGTCCGTCTTGTTTTGGTAATCCGATTTGGGTATAAAGAAGACGCCAGCAAAGTAGGTCTAATCTGTTTACGAGTTATTTTATATATTAAAAAAAAACCCTGCAAAGGTTAACGTCGGTGAATCTGAAGAGATTAGTCCGACGTTGCATGGGTTTAAACTTTTGTCCAAAATCTGGTCCAAATTCTATGCTATAATCTGCAACTCTGGTATAATCTTCACTTTCATGCGCACGAAATATATACATCAAATTTTTTTTTTTTTTTTTTTAGGTGGAAGCTAATCGTGCGATATATCTATATTTATTTATTTATTTAAGGATAAACCTAGCGAAAATGGAAAACAAGGCGTCCAGTGCCTAGCTAGTGTTGGACACAAGTTTACGGAGGCCACGAACAACCCCCAATGTATTTGTTATTTTTTGGAGGAAACGTGGTTGCGACCAAGGGAACTGAACGAGGGCGCACTCCCTGTTCCTTGTTTATGAAAAACCGTGCACCTACAAGTATTTTGGATAAGAGTTTTGTAGGTGTCATGTAAACATACATGTAAAATAGTGAAATTGTTGGCAGTATACTACGAATATAACTGCTAGATAGCCAAATATGAACGATAGTGATTCGAATTCCGAGGCTCTGTGAAGGTATGAGGTCAGACTTGGCGTCGGATTGTAAGCGTCCCTGGCCTTTGTCGACTACCATCGTCCGTCCGGGCCTTGAAATCAGAAAAGGTGAGACACAGGCGTTTAAGGCTGCAGTTGCCCCTCCCTTCTGTTCCAAGAATGAAGATATTGCTTGGTGGTTGAAGATGCCTTGGCAGTCATCAGGAGTGAAGGAAGATCATAGACTGCCAAGGCTTGTAAAGTTATTTTGGGATGGGAGGGCAACAGAGCTCTGACTGCATAACCGAGAATGAGCGTGTAAGCTCGAATCTCGAATAACGAGAATGCATATAACAAAAGATTACGTAATGCAGCTGTTCGCGGAGGTATGCGTTCGATAACGAACATAAATTCCACTTCACTTTGGTCTGAACACAGACAGTTCCCCTTAACCCTATCAAGCCCTATCAGTGGCGTACGCAGGATTTTTTTCAAGGGGGGGGGGGGTTTCCAAAAAACATGCATAAAACATACACATAAAAAAAACTCGAGGAGGGGGTTTAACCCCAAAACCACCCCCCCCCCCCCCCCTGCGTACGCGCCTTAGCCCTATCAAGCTATCTTAATCCTTGTCTGAATTCAGTTCCTCCCTCCCGCGCAAAACGCGGAAGCTTTGACGTTTCATTAAATTATAGAGAAAGAAGACGATTCGTTGTCAAAAATGTTTCTTTGTCCCATAAAAAGTCAGTTCGTAGGGAGCGACGTAATAGATATCACTGACTTCAAACTTCTGCATTGATATAGCACACGAGGATCGAGCAAGAATACCGACACAGCAACATAATACATCTATGCGTATCTTTCTTGTCCTCTCGACGTGGTGAATCCACCTAACACCCCATATTTTTCTTACTCCCACCCTCTTATCTCAGGCTCTAAACCACTCTCTATCTCCTCTCTTTCATCCCCGTTTCTTTTGTTTCCCTTTTCTCCATTGCTTTCTTTTCTTTCTTTTCCTTTCTTTCCTCGCCTTCCTCGCCTTCCTCTTTTTTTTCTTTCTTTCTTCTCTTCTCTTCTCTTTCCTTTCTTTCCTTTCCTTTTTCCCTTCTTTTCTTTCCCTTTCCCTCTAATTTTTCCCCTTCCCCTCTAATTTGTCCCCTCCCCCTTTTCTCATTTTACCCGACAATAGCGCAATTTTACCGACAATATCCTGACAGGTGGGGGGAGGGGGTGTCGCATCCCCCTTTAGCGACGCCCCTGGTTGTTATCCCATATTTTTTTTTTAAAGAAAGGCAATTCCTCATGCTCCCGCACCTCTCTTCTATCGTTGTTTAATATTATTTCATTTTTTTCCTTTCTCCTTTAACTCATGAAAGTTCTCTCTTCCCCCTTTTTTCATCTCTTTTTTGTGTGGTTCTTTTTTGAATATTTTTTGTATTTTTTTTGTATTTTTGTATTTTTGTATTTTTGTATTTTGTATTTTTTTTTTTTTTGGGGGGGGGGGCTACACGCCTGGCAAGAGGGACCCCATATTATGCACACTGCGAAATTGCGTGTCCCCCCCTTCCCAGTAAAAATAACACCTTCTTATAATATCATCCCCCTTTATTTCTTTCCCCTTCTCATTATTCTCCTTTTCCCCTCTTCTCTCATCCGTCTTTCCCTCTTTCTTCCTTTTCCGCTTTTCCTTTCCTCTCACTTCCCTTCTTCCTTCCCCCTCTTCTCTCCTCCCTCTTTTCTTCTTCTTTCTATACTGCATTTTTTTCCCCCTCCTTTTTCTTTTTTCCCTCCTTTTTCTACTTTTCTCCCTTTTTCTTTTCCCCCCTTCCCCCTTTCCCCCCTCTTTTCCTTTTTTTTTACCAGGGGGCACGTGCCCCCTGTGTCCCCCTGAATCCGCCACTGACTATGTCGACGTGCAAATCTAAAAGTCCCTAATGAAGTATTTTGATGACTGATCGCTGGCATCACCATCTAACCCCGCCCCCCTCCCCCGGGCTTTTGATTCGGGATCGAGCTCACCCATGCGAAAGAAAAGTCTCTTCTGGTGGCCAATTATATAAACTCTCCTCGTAAGCAGTTAAGTCACATCGCTGTCTCCTTCTGCATGAAGAAGACGTTTATGAAATAAGATGGCGCGGACGCTGTTTGCAAGTCTTTTCCTCTTTCTCGTTCTTGGACTGGTAGCAGGCCAAGGAGACGACAATGACGGTCCAGATGCCGAAAGTCTGGCAGCCTTGATCGCACAGCTACAAGGCGGTAGCGGAGATGGTGAAGACCTGCTGCATCTCCTGGGTCAGACTGGACAGCACAGGACCGCGATGACGAAGCCGAATGTCATCCTGCTCCTCGCTGACGACATGGGAGTCGGTGACCTCTCCGTCTATGGTCATCCGACCCAGGAGCCCGGCTTCATCGACCAGATGGCTAACCAGGGTCTGAGGTTCACCCAAGGATACTCAGGAGACTCGGTTTGTACCCCAAGCAGGTCGGCGATAGTTACAGGTAGGACTCGGAAGTTCAATTTAAAAAAAACACTCATCTCTTCTTTTTCTTCATCATCTTCTTTATCATTATCATCGTCACGACCTTTATTAATAATAATACATCAAATTCGATATTTCATCATTGGAGTACAAGTATTGAGAGGGGGGGGGGGGGGGGGCTTGGCCGCTGTCTCCAAAAGTTCCACGCCTCAAAAGTGGGAAAGAAATGGAAAAAGTTGAGCGAAGAAAATAACAGTGAAAAAAGGGCGGGGGAAGCAAAGGAAAGAGAAAGGGAAAAAAAATACTTCCTATGCCATATTTGATATGATTCCATTGGTTCCGTCAGGATAATCTACATTCAAGTCATTTCGGTACCCTTTTTTTTGGGGGGGGGGGGGATAACACTGTATTTTATTTTAATGTAAACTAAATTATTACCATCATCATTAGTCTCTCTCTTACTCTGAAGTGACCTTTTTTATGCAATAAGCCAGATATTCATGAGCATGCTCAAATGAATTTATCGTTGAATATTTAATGGCATTGCCTTATTTATTTTGATAAAGCCCCAGTCCCATATAAAGCCGGACCAGCACGGACGAGCACGGACCACTCCGGACCATCCCGGACCATGGTCTGGGGTGATCCGGGATGGTCCGGGATGTTTTGTTCAAAAAAGTGTGATGCTTTAAAAGCTACAGTCCCATATACGTCCCGGACCGTCCCGGACCATCCCGGACCCCATCCGGGGTGATCCGGGATTCGGTCCGTGTTGACACCGTGTTGGCACCGGGGTGGTCCTGGATGGTCCTGGATGGTCCTGGATGGTCCTGGATGGTCCTGGGCGGTCCGGGAGTCGACCCCGGATGTTTTTGACGGTCAAAAACTGCCGGGGTGGTCCGGGACGGTCCGGGACAATAATTTGATCCGGGGTGATCCGTGTAGCCACCGTGCTGGGTCCGGGGTCATCCGTAGTGGCGCCGGGGCGGTCCGTGTTGATCCGTGGCGGTCCGGGAGTGAGTTATTGACCGCCCAGGACCATCCAGGACCATCCAGGACCATCCAGGACCACCCAGGACCACCCCGGTGCCAACACGGTGTCAACACGGACCGAATCCCGGATCACCCCGGATGGGGTCCGGGATGGTCCGGGACGGTCCGGGACGTATATGGGACTGTAGCTTAAAAGCATCACACTTTTTTTAACAAAACATCCCGGACCATCCCGGATCACCCCAGACCATGGTCCGGGATGGTCCGGAGTGGTCCGTGCTCGTCCGTGCTGGTCCGGCTTTATATGGGACTGGGGCTTACTATTCATCCACATCTTCGATACATTTGAGCACATTTTTTTTTTGGTCCTCGAATTTTTTTAAAATCGCACCCCCGCCCTCCTTGAGCGCAAGGGGGGGGGGGGGCCATCTCCAAAAAAAGGATAAAATTAACGTGTTTTTACACGTTTTTTCTCAGGGGGTGGGGGGGGGGGGCTGTGTGTTTATAGTTCGTATTCTTTTCTTTTATCGTCATCATTGTACATATTAATGTCGTTCTTTTGATATATTTGCAAGATAGGCCTATACAAATTCGTTTTAATTGTTTTGTGTTTTCATTCATAGTTGATATACTTTAAAGCGCCGCTTCATTACATGTAGCTACTTGCACCTTCAAAATAGCAAACAATGCCTAATCGGTGTCCATTGGTCCCCCATGATCCCCTTTTTTAATGTTAATTGAGAGTTGATTTGATGAAATAACCACCTGTCGGTGACCATGCAGGGAGGTATAATCCCTCCTGGCAAGACTAGTACAGAGGGGCTTTAAGTCCTCTATCTAGTCGATGAATTTAGTTGTTTCCAAAGTTGTTCTTATGATCGTGTATTTTGCTAGTTTTTTTAATCAATATTTTTATCAGGGCTTCAGCTTTGGCTTTGTACATCTTTTTCCCTTTTTCAAACTTTTCTGCTGCCTCCCCAGATATTTTGGGGTTTTTACTGCATATCGGGATAACAATACAAATAAAATACTTAGATTTTTCGTCCTAAATTACATAGGCCATTTTAGGGCGGTACCCCCACACCCCCGATTTCTCATGTGCCTCTATTGTGTAGGTTCAGTCATGAAAGACCTGGAGAGAAACAAGGTACTTACTCCGCATTTAAATAGCAATCCTCTTATACACGGATTATGCAACATTTTAATTGTATACTTTCCACAAGCCCTGTCACATTACATGTATATAGGCACAGTCATCTTGGATGATCTTCTCATGGATCTTACTAAATAAATACGTTGAAGCCTAACAAGTACTAGATATACCACGATTTACTTGATTAAACATGTGGAAAGCCCGACACGGGCTAGAAAACCCGAGTCTTTCAAAGAAAGAAAAAATATTCACAAAATTTGTGTTCGTGCACCCCCTCTCCCGCAATTCCTTTTTCACTAAAAGCACCTGAAAATGTTAACTGTTTTAAGTGCTCGTCCGAGATTTTACAAATTAAAAAATTATTTTTGATAGTAAACAGCATATGATTTTTTTTTTTTTTTTTTTTTTGGGGGGGACGGGTTTGTCAGAAATGTCTTGGAATTATGCCCCCCCCCCCCCAGTGGCAAGAGAAATCTGGTCACATCATTTACATTCAATTTTGTACTTTTTTCTGACCCGTTTCATTCGCAGGTCGTCAACCTATTCGTACCGGTGTCTACGGCGAGGAGCGTATCTTCCTACCATGGACTACCACGGGGCTGCCGCTGTATGAAGTGACGATCGCTGAAGCGATGAAGGGAGCCGGATACACCACAGGGATGGTGGGCAAGTGGCATCTTGGTGAGTTCTTGCTGATAGAATCTGATGCACTGCTACATTTTCGCGAGAAAGTGAGGGGGTGGGAGTTAGCGCTTTTTGCCCAAATATCAACTCTACAGTATACACTTCGGCAACAAAATTGGCACTTTTTGTTGTCGTTGAAATTGATTGTTAATCGTTCTCCTAGAATTTGAAATTACCAATATTCGGGAATCTGCCACCCCATATAGCCCATAGGCGACATTGACATGCTGTATTTGAAGTTTTGCATGCTGTATCCAATTACATGCTTGATTACAAAGTAACATGCTTTATTATAAAGTGCAGGTTAGGTTCTTGAGTGGGCTCAATCCCCCCCCCCCCCCCCCCCCCTCCATTTGTGTTCTTGTTTATAAGCGAAGCACGTGTAGAACATGTATGCAAGTTAATGAAACCGTTAATGAAAGGGGGGGGGGTCTCTTGTTAAAAGTGACTTTTTATTTGATCATAAATTCCGAGAGGATGGGAGAGGCTTAGTATTTCTGAATGCGCGCTTGGGAGATAAGAGCACTCTTCCTAAGAAAAGGACCTTCAACACAATACATTCAGAAACTCTTAGCCCAATCACTGAGCACTGCAGTGATTATAAAAACTCGCGTGAATGACTTTTGGCAATGAGCCAACTGGCATAATATGCGAAAGAAGCGGGGTGTGGCTGGGGCCGAGTAGGTGGGGGGGGGGGGGGGGGGGGGGTTGGCGTGGATCGCCGCCCCTGCCCTAAGAAAACAAAACAATCTTCTAAAACCGCGCCCGATGAAGTGTAACAAATTCTGTTCGCTCTCAAATAGTAAAGAGCTATATTGGGCAGGCGACGCGAGCCCTCCAGCGGGCCTGGCAAAATATTGTGACCAGCGCTTACTCCTAAAAGATATATCCATTCTGTTTATATCCAACTTTTCTGAGTTTTCCCCCTTTAACATGTTTAAAGTGATGTAGTGATTAAACCGTTCCACCTTCTCTTTTTTCCAGGAATCAACGAAAACAGCAGTTCCGATGGTGCACATCTTCCCGCCAATCGCGGCTTTGATTTTGTAGGACATAATCTGCCTTTCGGCAACAGCTGGCGCTGTGATGATACTGGGGTAAATAAATAATTTGGAAAGATTTGTATGACTGTTTGTTTGTTTGTGATAGTTCGTTTGTTTGTTTGTCGGTTGATTGGTTGGTTGGTTGGTTGTTTTTTTAATATTTTTTTTATCTGATATCTACTTTTTGTGAAAATTAAAAAGCAGAAAACTGTAGGTGTATGTAATGAGGGAATGAAACGCTCATAAATAAATTATAATAGGAGATTTCAGTTTGAGAAGAAAAAGATCAGAGTAGCTTACAAAATTTGCCACCTTAGTACAATAACCTAGTAGGCCTACAACACAGGCCGAAGCGGCGCCATCGATTTGCCGCCCCTAATCAATCAAACCATTTATCAGGGGTCTGCGTCTTAGATTGTCTTAGATAAACTGGCTAAATTAATTCACAGTTCCGTGCTCTGTTCTGGATAGGCAACCTGCAACAACGAGGCCTACATGTCTGTCTTTTAAAGGCCACCAGTACTAGTGTAAAGGAGGGATTAGACCACCCTCCAAGGTCACTGGAGGGGGTTATCCCATCAACTCTGCTCTCAAATAACATAAGAAAAAGAGGATCATGGGGGACCAATGGTCACTGATTAGGAATTATTTGTTATATAGAGGGCGCAAGTAGCTACAAGTAGTGCAGTGTGGCTTTAACCCCTATTCTCATAATCTGTTCTTTGTAGCTTCACCAAGACTTCCCCGATACTAACGCTTGTTTCCTGTACTACAACTCGACCTCGGTGGCCCAACCATTCCAGCACAAGGGTCTCACCCAACTCCTTCGCGACGACACCGTCGGCTTCATCGAAGACAACGTCAATAAGCCATTCTTCATGTACGTCTCCTTCGCTCACATGCACACCAGTCTCTTCTCCAGCGATGATTTCTCTTGCACTTCCCGCCGCGGTAAGGCTGGTCGCAGATCCCTTTCTCTTTTCCACAATGTTGTTTTACTGGCATAATAAAACGCTTATTATTCAAATAATACAGGAGGGAGAGCAAGTAAGAAGAACACTTTTAACAAGATGATGCGACCTTCTCCCAGCTCGTGGGCAATTCCAGTACCTTTGTGATATATCATTTTCTCTCATTTGTTTTGTATTGTAAACTGGACCCCTCGGTAAAACAGCTGGCTGTGCTGTACTGGCACAGCTGAGCAGGGCGATCCATCCAATGTTATTTTCTCATGTTATCATGTATTGCTATTTATATGTTTTTATATTGGTCAATAACATAAAATAAAATAAAATAAAATATTGTAGGCCTATTTATATCCCATAGAAATCATGGACAGATTACGTATTACGTCGGTGTCATGTTTGCACATTTCAATGGGTGTCGATCGGACAAGGCAATTGTTCAAATCTAATCACTTGCTTTCAAAATCAAGGATGTAAGTTGTGCGGTGACCTTTACAGTTGAAGATATAAAGTTTAAAGAAAACAAACTTGTTTTTCATTTGGACAGGTCGCTATGGAGATAACCTCCGTGAGATGGACCAGGCAATCGAGCAGATCGTGACAACACTCGTCGACAACGACATCGATGACAACACAGTCATCTTCTTCACCTCCGATCACGGTCCGCATCGCGAGTACTGCGGGGAGGGCGGTGACGCCAACGTCTTCAGAGGTAAGGTTGTGCCGTCCATTAAAAGGAAATCCAACCTTAATATACATCTACTTTAAACTAAAGCAGAAAAATCACATAAGCAGACTGGTGAAAGTTTGAATGAAATCGGATTAAAAATAATAAAGAGATTATGATCTGTACGTACGTAGCGCCGGACAACTTTCCCAATTGTTTCAATACACAAAATGGCTTAAATGTCAATTTTCCGAAAAGTTATAAAATTTTTTTTTAAATGACTATAAAATAAATATTGAAGAAAATCACCGGCAAGGCCGCAACGAAAAGCATTGTACACAGAAAGGTTACGTGTATTGTATTGTATTTATTAAACTTCATTGATGAACATCAATATTCTGTTTATAAACATAATTATAATCACTTTAAAAACAATCAATATTCTGTTTGGGAACATAAGTCAATTTACAATGTAACGTAACATATCAATATTCTGTAAACATATATACCGTATAAATCAATTTACAATGCACTGTTTATAGCAGTGAGACTATTCAAAACAGTCATGTAGCATTTCATTCAAATACACTATTTCAATTCATACGTGAAATATGAGAGAATTTCAAGCCTTGGGGGGGGGGGGGAATATAAATAGTGACCAATCCAAATAAATAAAAAATAAAAAGGGGAAAAAAGATACATGCAGTGGTGCTGTTCAGATTTTCCCTCCCTTTCTTACAACGTTTGACAAAAGCCCGGGGGGGGGGGTACTCACATATTAAGACATACGGGGGTGTGCCGCTCTAATGGGTAACCTTTTCACAAAAAGTCCCTAAACATGGGTCCCATTTTTAACAAAAATATCCTTAAATATGGGTCCGCTTTTTCAAAATTTAGAAAATAAAAAATAAAAAAAAATCAGGCAAACGCCAGAAAATTTGCAGAATGGGCTTTACTTTGAAGAAAACAAAATCCGCCAAAATGACCCTTAAAATGGGGAGGTGGGTTGAAGCTTCAGCGGCACACCCCCGTCAAAACCGAATCTGAGTACCCCCCCCCCCCCCCCCCCCCCCCCCCCCCCCCCCCCCCCCGGTTGTCAAGAGCAATGATCTCCATGTTATATTGCCAGGTAGACGTAACAAATTTTTTCCTTCCACGTGGGAACTAAACAAGAACGAGAAACCAATAATTTCCCCTGGTAATTTATTGACAGGTGGCAAGGGGCAGTCATGGGAAGGAGGGCACCGTATCCCGTACATCGTCTATTGGCCGGGTACCATTAGCCCTGGTGTCTCTCATGAGATCGTAACATCGATGGATATCATCGCCACCGCAGTCAATCTCGGCGGTTCAGAGCTACCAACAGATCGTATCTACGATGGCAAGAGCCTCAAGAGTGTTCTCTTAGAGGGCGCTTCATCTCCACACGATGACTTCTTCTACTACTGCAAGGACACCCTGATGGCCGTCCGAGTTGGGAAGTACAAGGCGCACTTCAAGACCCAGACGGATAGCAGTCAAATGAAGCTTGGCGAACGCTGCGACGGAGGATTCCCACTGGATGATTACTTTCTGTGTAGCGATTGCGAGGGTGACTGCGTGACAGAGCACAACCCCCCTATTATGTTCGACCTCGAAAAGGACCCTGGTGAAAACTATCCTCTGGGACCTTGCGGATACGAACATGTTCTCCTGCAAGTCAAGGACGCCATCGCAAGGCACGACGCGGAGATGGTGATAGGAACCCCTGTCCTGGATAACTTCGATTTCTCGATTATTCCTTGCTGCAACCCGGAAACCAACTGCGTCTGTAACTACACGCATGAACCGGGTGTCGCCGAGTGTTACCAGGATCTCATCAACATCGCCCTCCGTAACGGCGTGCCCAAGTAGTCGACCAAGAATAACCATACAACACGTAACTACGTTTCGAGCCGTGTTTGAAGTATTTTTTAAATAACTATATTTTACTTATTCAACTATAATCATAATTGAACTTTCCACGACGAATAAAGTTGAAAATGCATGTATGTGTGAGTGAGGTTTTTCCATTTCGATCTAAAGGACTCCATGCAATTTCGTCAAGTTTCACCATTTTATTTCTTTCTCTCTCTCTAGTAACATGGTTTGATACTATTACCCGATATTTAGCTTATCTTCACCTTGGGATCACAATGTATTATCTTAATCTAACTACAATTATTTCTTGTAAGAACGCTGTAGGTATTATTATTTTTTTTTCCAGGTAACATATTTTTGCGATCATGATGTCGTACACATAGATCGAGCTGTTTGTTAGGGTTTGTAAAAAAGAAATTATTCGTTTTCTTTTACTTTGAAACTTTCATTTATTCTCTTTGTAATTTCATTACAGATACAAATTTGTTTTCATGATTTATATTTGTTTTTCATGATTTATATTTGTTTTCTCTCAATGTAATCTTTAGCAAAACGTTGTATGTGACATTAATTTTTTTAAAGATTTAGCATGAATAAAATAAAGGGTTAATGAGGTTAACATGACTCTGTACGGGGACTGCATTGGACAAAGAGAAAGTGAGAGGGGGTGGGAGAGAGAGAGAGAGAGAGAGAGGGAGAGGGAGATTGAAGGGTAAGAAGAAAATGAGTGACGAGAGAAGAGTGAAGTTGGAAGGGGACTCATCAATGGAGAAAGACGAAAGAGTTAGAGGACGGAGGAGGAGAGAGGTGATGTTGAGAGAGGAAGAGAGAGAGAGAGAGAGAGGGGGGGGGGGGGGAATGAGAGAGAAAGGGAGAGAAGGGGCGGGGCCATCAAACCAAAAGAGAAAAATGAGGGAAATGATTGATAGGACAGGGAGAGAAAAGAGATGGCTGAAGGGAGAAAAGGGTAAAAAAGGGAGAAAGGTGAGAGAGATAGAGAACTAAGAAGAAGAGTAGTGAGGTCGAGGTTGAAAGAGAGAGAGAGAGAGAGAGAGAGAGAGAGAGAGAGAGAGAGAGAGCGAGAGAAGGGGATGGGGCCATCAAACCATACCAAAAGAGGAAAATGAGGGATAATGATATAGGACAGGGAGAGAAAAGAGATGGTTGAAGGGCCGGAGAAAAGGAGCGATATAGGAGCGATGAAAAAAAGGATGAAGTAGGAAGGGGACTCATCAAGGGAGGAAGATGAGAGAGATAGAGAACTAAGAAGAAGAGTAGTGAGTGAGAGAGATAGAGAGAGAGAGAGAGAGAGAGAGAGAGAGAGAGAGAGAGAGAGAGAGAGAGAGAGAGGGAGAGGGGGGGGGGGGGGCTTTCATATAGATTGGGATAAATATAATTGCGCGCGCAGTCCTTCTAATTTAAGAAACTGGAATAGCGCCACCTTATGTCTGCAGTTCAACATCACACAATCATGATAAAAACATACTTAGTAGACCAGCAAAGCATTCAAAAACAGGCTGTAGAAAAAGATTCCATGGTAATTTTTAGGGAAAATGCATGGCATCCACGCTAAAAACTAGTGGAAAAACACTAGGGAATAAGGGGTAGAATTCACGCGCATTTTCCTAAAACTATGAATATGTAATTTTGGCTCAAATTTTTTAAGAATGTCAACAATCACGATTTTCAATTTTATTCTATTTAGGAATTGATTTTGAACTGACGTTTCCAATCATTTAGGTACAACAAAAATGACAGATATTGGTCAATAATTCCTGATATCTTCTCGGCCACAGGTTTTATGAACTGGGGGAACTTTAAAATCTCCCATTTGCCAGGAAATACTTTTGTTGTTTTCAAGGTATATTCATAAGAAATTGCTATGATTCTTTATGTACAAAATAATGTAATAGTGACAGGTTGAATCATATAGTTGCTTTCATCATTTTCTAGTTTTTGATCACTAATTTTTGTTTTTGCCCTCGAAAATTTGAAAATCGCACCCCCCCCCCCCCATTGAGCACCAGGGGAGGGGGCCCGTCTCCAAATAAAGGTAAAATCAACGTGACTGTTTTTAACAGGGGAGGGGCCCGGGCCCCTGGATCCGCCACTGTGCTAAAGCACCTGGAATTGTTATGTTTTTAGATTTCGAAAAAGCATATATGATAATGTAATTATGATTTTTTTTTATAAAAAATATTTTGAAAAGGTTAATTTGTTGGAATTGTTTCATTCAGTGGATTCAATTGATTTACATGATTGATTGATTTGATTTTTATTCGTCAAGCTTCCAACATACAACAATATACAAGAATAACAGATCAAAATTAAGTTAGCTTGGATAACCCACGAAAGCTCGAGAGCTTATTTCCAGTGGGGTCCCCGATTGACATGTACACAATTCGTAAGTTAAAATAGTAATATTTACAGACAGATAGGAAAAAAAAACCTTATTAAAGATAGCAATAATGATAATAATAATAATAACAACATTAAACTGATGATAGAAATGCTAATACGTACAAGAATAAAAGAAAAAGGAGAAGAAGAAAAAGAGGAGGAGGAGGAGGGGAGGAGGAAGAGGAAAACAATGACGAATATCATGGAGAATTTCTATAACATACACAAACATAAATATATACAAAATGAAAAAGTATGAACCGGCAGAAGAATACAAATTTCAATCATAATAAAAATTATCATTCGCTTCTCTTCTCAGACTCTCAAGTGTTAGGTATTCCTTTCATTTCCCCCTAAAATGAGCTTAGTTTTCTATTTACTTTATATTATAGGAAGGGAATTACCAGTACTACCTACTCTTTCTCGTAAGCTAAGGTTGAATCGGCTATTTCTTGTATTATAACCATGTTAGTCAGTAACAAGATCGAAGTTGGATCGAATATAATGATTAGACCCAGTATGGTATATTTTATGCAATTGATGCAATACAAGTTTTTTTGATTTAAAAAGTTCGCTGCAGCCAACATGAGTTCTTGGACCAGAACAGTTGATGAATCTTGGAATCACTATAAATCTTGATGGAAGAAACAATAAAGGTCCACAGTTTTTTTCTTCTAACCAAACTTCTTAATTGAATATTGAAATTGAATCCCAGCAAGTAGAATGTACCCAAAATCATGTTAAATATAGGAATATAATTATGTGGGGAAAATGCTAAAGATCTTAAAGCCTAAAATGGATAAAATTCAAACTTTTTTATACGAGTTTGGAAACTAAGAAATTTAAGAAACTATTTTGGAAAGGTTGTAATTATCAAAACATTGATCATTGGTGTCTTCCGTTATTATTTATCCATCCAAGATAGTCAAGGTACCTGTGAGTATCGAGTTTTGATTCAATTATTCACTCTATTATTTGGAATTATCGCAAAGAAAAGGTAAACAGAAATGCTTGTGTAAATAGACCCCCCCCCCTAAAAAAGGTGGTCTTAATGGTCCATTTCGAATCAAAGATTAGGTCGCTAAAGATATCGTGGATAAGCAGATTACTATAGAAGAAAGCGACTTAGTTGGACATTTCTTTTTACTATTGGCTCTCTAAAGTTGGAGAGATCCCTTTATGTTTTGAATATAATAATGGATCATCTTTGTAAACAAATAGGCCCGAATTCACAAAGGAGGTTTGTCGACAAACCTTGGTTTTCGTACGTCATATGACGCGTTTTACGCGTTTTTTACAAACCTGGTTTGTAAAGAACAAAAGGAGGTTTGGCGAAACAAAAGGAGGTTTGAGCTCAAACCTTGCTTTGTGAATTCGGGCCATAAAGTGTATCAAAATTATATAAAATATACATTCGCAGGTAAAAAAATACAACGCAAAATTCTGTATTGGTTGATTTTAAGTTAGTGGTGAAATCATACCTGGAAAGTGTGAGTGACTTTGAATTTGGAAAAGAAGGTGAAGTTCAAAAAGTTCTGTCAATGGTTTCTGTAAAACTTTGATTTAAAAAAATTGTATGTACATAATTGCTAGTAAATACCTCGAAAGAGGATGAGAAAAAATTTCCCAAGCTGCTAGAAATTCAGTATTCCGCTGCTCGCCAGGCGAGCTCTTTTCATCTACCATTAAATAGAACATCTTTTGCACAAAAGACATTTGTTTTTACAGGTCCAAAACTGTTGAATTCTCTTTCAAATGATATTATACAGTGTAATTCGATACAAATTTACAAATTACAAAAAGATTACAAAAGGAGAATTAAAAGCTTTCTTCTGAAGAGTTACTTATAGGCTATTGCATTCCCCAATCAAATATAATCTGTAGTGTGACTTTATGCAACTTCGATTGTTTTTTTTTTATAAACATGTATGTCTTTATCAATGTTTTGTGTTTAAAGGTGATTTTTTTTTTGTAATACTGAATAATAATAATAATATGACAAATTTATATAGCGCTTGTGACAGAAGTTTCAAAGCGCTGTACATGTAAACAAATCAAAATTACTTCAAACAAAATCAATATTACTAATAGAATTAACGTTACTCAAATTACCAAGAAAACAGAATATTACCTACATAACTTAACCAATTATCATTACTTAAATTAACAAGAAAATCGAATATTTCTATCATAACTTAACAAATTGACATTACTTAAATTACCAAGAAGATCAAACATTATTAACATTACTAAAGAAATTAACAGAACACGTAAATTCCTTGGAAATTAACACATTATATCAGTAATAGTAATAATTAAAAAGACATAATGAAGGCATGGTAATATTTATTCGAACTTGTTTTAGAGTTATTTGGGTTGCTTTTGGAATAGATGAGTTTTTAGATTCTTTTTGAAAATGTCAATGGTGGGTGAGTCCTGGATATGGGCGGGGAGAGTGTTCCAAAGAGTGGGGGCACAGACTGAGAAGGCCCTGTCACCATAGCGGTTGTGGGTGCGAGGACCAAGTGCGAGCTGGGGTCTGGATGATGATCTAAGGTTCATGCCGGTAGTCTGTTTGGGTGAGATCAGTTTAATCAGGTATGATGGTGCGTGATGATGGATGATGTGGAACGTGAGGAGAAGAATCTTGAATTGGATACGTTGGGGAATTAAGAGCCAATGTAGGGTGCGGATGACTGGAGTGATGTGATCGTGCTTTCTGGTGCGAGTGATTAGCCGTGCAGCGGTGTTCTGTATGTGTTGGAGTGGGGCCAGGTGAGAAGCAGGTAAGTTGATTAATAATGAATTACAGTAGTCTAAATGGGAAGTTACCAATGCATTAACTAGTCGTTCAGTAGAGCTGCGATCAAGGTATTTCCGGATTTTCCCAATCCTATAAACTCCGAAGCTAGCTGCCCGACACACCTTTCGGATGTGCTCTCTTAAGTCTAACGAGTTATCAACGATAACTGTGAATCAGTTATTGTTATTTTTTTTCTTCTCATAAAATAATAATTCATAATAATTACTTTTACAGGGGGGCTTACACCCTACAAGCTCTGCTTTTTAGTCGGCCCTCCTTCCCTTTCAATTTCATATTTATTTTGTTAATGTATTGTATTGTGCAAATTGATCTATATGACTGTATAGAAATATGTGAATATGTTAAAATGTACCATTGTAAATATGAACGATTGAAAGAGGAAAAATAAATGAATTGAATTGAATATAGTACAGCGGAGAGGTTTTGCCTTTTGCCATTGATACAGATTCTTTTGTTTCTCTCCACATGTTTTTTTTTAGGAGTATCATTATTATCTCTTATTTCATTTGAATAATATTGCTTTCTCAAGTATAGCCATATTACTCGCAGTATACTGTTTTGTACTGAGCAGGTGCATGCAGCCCAATGTTCAGGATCACTTTTCTGAGTGTGCCCCCCCCTCTAAAATTCCATGATCGGTTGAACTGTTTTAGACCCCTTTTTTTTTTACCTCGATCGATTACATGTATGTGCCCCCCCCCCCCCCCAAATATCAAACTCTGGCTACGTGCCTGATCCTGTGTCAATAATGATCCCCAAGACCAAGAAGTTACTAGCCAAGACCAACAATTTACTTCCATTATGCTTTGTTTAGTTGGTGATGATCATAACAGAAACAGTTGATCTTATCCTATCTTTAGGGAGGAATGTAAATACATATACATGTAGCGTTGGTAATTTTACTGTTACTGTCATTATTTAAGGAGAATTTTCAAAACATCATGATGCAAGTATGCAACGACAATTGCTTCTGAAGATTTTTGAGGAGGGTGTGATCGAAGTAACGGCAAGCTATACGCTATATGATGTTGCGCTTGCATAGATGAGCGAGCGGATTATTTATGCTTGATCTTGAGAGTCGAGTTCGCGCGTGCGCAATTCAATTTCGCTCAATGCCGATTGATGATGGAGCTGAGCTGAGCGCGCGCGCTGAGCTAGCTAGCGCTAGCTGAGAGCTAGTGGTACATGGTAGGCGCTAGACTACATAAACACAACACAGTCGTACTCTTACCAGTGCATGTGAAACGTTAAACTGTTTCATTCAAGATTAAACGAAAGAACTGGCGTTGTCTTCGAAATTTTGTTATGGTAAGGTTTGTCTAGTTTCTGTTGAAATCATTTTGTGTGTGTGTAAGATGTAGTTTAGGCAGCGATAAGTGCCACCAATTTTAAGTATGTTCGGAGTCTTCGCGGTGTTATGTCAGGATGTGTGCAGACTAGACCATGACCATTGGCATTGTTGTCGCCAGTGATGACCGGGGTTCTGTTCAAGGTTTCAAAACACGGTGTAGATCTATGTCGATGGCGCATTCACAGTCCTGAACCCATTCACAGTGCCCATTCACAGTGCCCATTTGTCAGAGTCACACCGATAGAAAGAGAATATCTCCTGCTCTTGAGCAGGAGAATCTAATCGCCTAGATCTATTTCTTTTCTTTTCTTTTCGTCGGCTATCAGTGGCTATTCTATCGGCTTTTTCTCCTCTGTACCATTCATAGTGACCGTTTCATTGGATGCGTCTGGATGCATCCGATGAAAATCAGGCCAGTTTGAAAGGGTTATTGGTCATTCAGTCATAGATCCTGAGATCTACATGTAGATCTAGACTAATTCTAATCAATATTAACCAAATGTACCAAGCACTGAGAGTGAGAGGCTTTAGTTAAGTTGAAATGAGGCGACAGGAATAGTGCTACATCAATACATGTATTTCTGTCACCAAGGAATCCATAATTTCACTAGTGGCTCATGAAATAGTATACAAATAATGAATGGTTATGAGTTCAATAGTGCGAATATGTTCATGAGTTGAAAGATTAACATTCTATTCAACGAGGCGTCAGCCGAGTTGAATAGAATTAACGTTAATCTTTCAACGAATGAACATATTTGCACTATTAAACGAATGAAAAACATTCATTATTTGTTTTATACAACATCGAAGAAGACCTAATAGAACGTTAATCAACAAATTATGCTTTACTCCTTATAAAGATAAATTAAAGTTCGAGTCAAGCCTTCTCGATTACATGCAGATTGCCTTCGCGTCAGATACACGCAGGGATACGTGCACATGCAGCAGAGAGGTACGCAGTCTGCATATAACCAAAAATGCACGGCGCATATAACCAAAAATGCACGACCGTGCAATATACCATCTATTGAATATCATGTGATCAACAACCGTCCAATCAAATGACAAGGATCCACGTAGGTGTTGTATAATGCATGATATATTGTTTTATATTTTTCAAACCAACCTTCATGAAAATGATAATAAAATATCTGTCACCGAGGAATGGCATATCTATTACTACTAACTAGTAATACTATTACTATTACTAGCCTTAGATCTAGGGCCGCTAGGCTTAGTGAGTTAGCGTAGCAGAATATCTTTAGAATTGATTTCGTCAGAATTTATCTTTTTTTCCTTTCTTTCACTTCAGCTTCTGTATGGATTTTGTTTGCTTCATATCTCATGAAAGACATGATTTTATGACAATGAAATTTTAACGACATGTGCCAATATGCATGATTATTGATCTTAACGTAGATATTTTTTGTATTACTGTTGCGTGACGTCATCTAGACGCCATTTTGTTAATTTCTAAAAATTGACCATATTTCATTCATACATTGTCATTTCTGAATGATATTTGATACGCATAAACTTAATGCCATAGGTCAACTTTTGGTCACACCCATATTCGTGCGCGTGTCATGGCTGATGCTTATGCGTGAGTCGAAATTTAAAATTGGTCAAATTATCTATTGGCCCAATTTACTACACGTTTCAGACCTTTGGTCTTGTGGTCAGATTCTGCGAATGCCTCTTGGTCTTGGTTCTTACTAGATATTTTATCTCTCTTATAATTTTCATCTTTACATTTTCTCCTCACGATTCTTGACCGTCAACATCGCTTTTCTTTTCCAACATATTGGTATATAATAAAAAAAATCAGAACTTTAGCTTTATGAACGATGTGTTATTTTGTTGTTTGTTCAGCTACTTTTGTCATTAATTTAATGGTTACAGGGTTGTACCGAAACAATAGTCGGCACAATAATTTCTACTGTTTTTAGTACATCCTTGATTACTAAATGAGCTTGTACAGTGTACATGTACATGTACATAGACGTATTATGTGAATCTCCCATTGAGTTTCTACATGTGTTATGTCTTGATCAAAGCTGCAGATCACCTAATTCATCTCTGTGACATATTCAATGTGTAGTTTACTAGTTTTATCTTTGTATTTTACTCTTGAGTGTTCATTACAGTAACGCACATGATATGTGCGACTTAAACGCCAATTCCTGCGCTGAGACTGAGCTTGCAGTGCTTTTTAACAGAACGCTTGTCCACCAGAAGAGCTTTTTCTTGATGCAATGAATAAGACTCTGGAAGTACCTCATGCAGTTAACTTTCTCTCTGACTGAAAAAAAGACAATCCCATCTTTGTAATGAGTTCATTTTCATGAAAGCAGCAAAATAAAAGAAACAGAATGGCGAAAGTTTGAATTATCTTGGACCAATACTGCAATAAGAACACTATGAATGTTTGAATTATGAAAACAAGACATCTAATCTGTGTGAATCGCAAAATTGCAATTTTGGTAAGTGGATTGTGACGTACATGTAGTCATGGACTTCACTCCCAATTGTCATTTACAAATATATTATTAAATTCTGTTATAAATAAGTGACTTCTCCTTTTGGGTCCTACTTAAAATATGTACCGGTATGTATTACTATAAACGGAGGAAAGACCCACCCTAGTCATACTCAGACATTTTGAAAAGTTGTCTTTTTTAGAAATTGGTTTGTTCAAAGAAACGGGAGAGTTGTACGCCACTTCACCATTGTGACATTACCAATTTGAAATGCCCTTTCATATAGTGATTACAACTTTTTAGAAATTCTTTAATCTCTTATTGTTTTTCTGATGTGTTCAAACTTTTACAAATCTACTTCTCAAATTTTTTACAGCAATTTGCTATAAGCAGGGATATGTGAGTTTAAATGGATACCCCATCTAAGAGGGCCCTTTGAAGCACTGCGAGGCACCGAGAGTCTTTTTTTCCCCTATCATAATCCCCTTAATCCCCCTCCCGGACCGCACAGCTCGTAAATCTCACTCCCGAAACTGAGTGACATAGGGCTCGCGAAATGCATTGTTGGAAATACACATCGGCTGCTATCAACAAAAATGGCGGCATACAGTAGGGATGAGTATTTGCTAGGCGACGATTTAGACTTTCTGACTGGTTTTGAGGAAGATTTAATTTATGGGAAGTTGGAGACCAACACAAGTTTAATATGCACGTGTGAAATGCCATCAACGGAAAATCTTAATCGTTGCAGCAAACCAGAACGTATGGTTAAATGGTTTCATCGTGAATGCGTAGGCCACTCCAGCAAAACATAGATAGTTGATGCGTATTGACTACTAGCACTGCAGTACGTGTAAATAGGCAGCATTTGAATACATGAATAGTCAATACACTCACGACATACAAATGCACATAATTATACCGATGCGGTTGATCGGCAAGTTTGACAGTAGACTCACGATTTTAATTTTTAAATTATTCTTTCTAACATCGGAAAGTTTAACAAATTGTATTTTAATGCTCTTTAGGTGTCATCAATCGTCACTAAAGTACTGACTTTGAGTGAAATCAGTTGAGTTTTGTACAGTGGTGTTTGAAATGTTGAGAATCAATAGCACAATTTTTAATATACGGCCAGGGTAGTAATGCAGCTATGTGTGTTTCCTCCCACAACATGCAGCATGTACAGCCCAGCGAGCACGGCGGCTTGCGCGTCGCCTGCCCGTACTCGGGGTGAAAAGTGGTGATGAATTGACAACTTCTTACCCTCATTAAACCAAATGCGCAAATATACAACACAATTTCATTTAGTTATTTTAAGAGATAAACTTATGGACTACCTTCCTAGCTATGTAAAAATTTCGGAAACTTTCGGAAAATGTCAATAATTAGAAGAGAACACGATGATGATGAGAAACTTGCATTCACTCTAACTCACGATTTCCTTGGTCGATTTCGCTGGTTCAGATGGCTACGTCTTCACTAGAGTTATCCGAACACAGCGAAAGCATTTGATAACCAATAGAAGGTTGTATTGTGCCATAAGTTGTCGATTTTTGTATTTTATATGTTATAGCTATGTACATCTTCCATGAGTATGACGTCATTTTCTCGGTGACTCGCATGGCTTCAAAGCCTTTTTTTTACGACCAAGTGTTTGGAGAGCTTAGGGAAGCAGACCGTGTTGCGTAACATTTCGTAACATTTGGATTGCCAGAGGGCATCTGTGGTCTGATAAGGGCGGCTGTTGATGGATTTGATGGCTGAAGAGGGTTACATTACTTGTTGTTAAGCCAAGTTAATCTTGAATATCTTTCCCTCGGAAAATTCTTTCGAGACGGAATATCCATTTAACTCACATATCCCTGCTATAAGGTTGGATTTTCCTTTCAGCTACAAGAAAAAATCTGGCTCTGTGAACTATGGTACAGTGAAATCTGTCTATAAAGACCACCCAAGGGAGACAAGAAAAGTGGTCTTTGAAAATAATGATGAAGAACAGAAAGTCAGATACCCATAATTATGCAGCTTTACTTTCCAAGCCAAATTGAAAAGCAAAATGTTTTAATTGCCATGTTGTAATCAAAAATATATTTTGTACATAAAATGAAGTGCATACTACTACTCTGTAGTGTGTAGTGTGGAGAGTTTTGAAAAGGAAATGGTGTGTTGTACAAGCAAGTAAAGGACCATGAAAGATCAGGAAGTATAGCCCATATCTAACATCGTCAATCTTCACATTTGCTTCCGGGAATTACAAAGGAAAGACATTCTTCTACATTGTAGATGAATGCAGTAAGAATAGAGAGTTAAGGAACTCAATTTTTATGACATTTGACAGGGATTCCAATTTTCTGGCAATTGCCGGAATTCCAGCTTTTTAATATTTTGTGTGTCAAATTTCCGGCCAAATGTATTTCGTCCCAACCTTTTCTCCAACTTGGATGAGCACCTGATGTCTGTGTGTGTGTGTA